GAGTTGTTATATGTCGGGAAATGATCTCACTGATGCTGTTTAGGTTATTTTCTATGGGATTATTATTATCATTAGGGTTATCAGCAGTCGCATTCATGTATATCTTCGGTATATATTGATATATTTATGTGAAGTGCATGTTCACGTCGACGTGTTTGTATTTATGAATGTATGTCACTCTCCCTATTCGTGTGGTCTGTTTTTGTACGTGTAGAACTCGCGGCCATATTTGGAGCCTTCGCCGATAACGGTTACAAGTAAGCAGAATGGCAGTTATATTTCAGAATCGTTAATGAGCGATCTTGCTTCTTGCCATATTTGAACGATTCGACACGTCTAGCGAGGTTTTTTCATGCTGTAGTTCTGCTTTTCCCTATTTTCCTTAGTACTAATAATGTCATCGTCTAAACAGGAGTTGATCGGAGTGTACCCGCAATTTGTCTTGTGTTTGAGGCTACTGTATGTATCCGCAACTTTATTTTTTAGTTTTACGTATTATTTGTTGTAGCTGTCGAGCTTGTCCAGCTCTTTACCATAGGGCGCCGCCATAAATATATTCAGTGACTGAAGCGATAAGTGTAGGGTCACTTTCACGACGAGGGAACCACTAAGTTGAACAGTTTTCTGGGTTCATTCAACATCTACATAGTAGCATTAGTCACAGTTGCAGCAGTAACTGTAGTAACAGTAACCTGGAGGAGTGAAACCTACAAACGATTTTCTTTGCCTTCTATTTAATCTCCTCGTCTATTTCGTTACATTGTCTGTGTTATTCGCCCATTTGTTCCAGGGGCTCCTATGGTAAGCGTGTCTTTTCGCAAAGCAACACAACACAACACCAAATACGTGTAGGTATTATTCAGCCAGTGTTGAATATCTACCAATAAACTTCGTGACGCAACAACGTCAACGATACTTCAACGATACAAGGGAAGGCGGGCGACCGATCTCACACACACATTTACATTCTCACAACTGCCGAACTATTACTAATTATAATAGCAGCACTACTTTCAATAATAATCTTAATAACTTATATATATATCATGTGGTATAATCGAAGCATTGCATTTCGAAGCAGGAAAGATTAATTAATAGTTTTAATACTATGCACCAGTATTATACAGCAATATCATCTCCATCGGACCTTCTTTTCAATTACTGTTAATAGTATCATTATTTTTTAGAGTAGAATACTTCTGGCGTATTGTATGAATATACTGTATATATGTATATAGCTCACATCCACACATACATTTACTCAAACCTCTCTCTTTTCTTCAATATATGTGTATACATATATTTCCTGTAGAATACCTGTGAAAACCTGTCTTCGATTTTTGTCATTGTGTGTATATACATGCACAACGTAATTTCTCTCTTTCCCTGCTCCCCCCCCCCATCTCTTTCTCTTCCATTGCTTCCCGCTTTGCTCTTTTCATTTTGTATATCACAACTATCGTAGAAAAGCAGGCGCAAATTGCGACCGCTGCGCATTTTCGCTTAAAATGGTGTGTTAGAAATTCCTAGGTGCAGCTACACGTGATCTGCCCTCCGTATACCTGAACACAGGCAAATCGAGTATATTCCAAAAGGCAAACAGCTGCGCGTCGATGCGTGCGTCGGGTGCCTTTCAGGAATGCCGACCTGATTCCATTAAGGACCGTGTGTCAATGACTAACCTTGCGCCAATCATGTTAATCAACATAAACTAGTAGCTATAGCTACTAAGCAAACGACTAGCCACTACGCATTTCTATTTTGAGTAGATTATAGCCAAGGTACTTTTTAATAACTATCATTTCTTTAATTAACATAGCATAGCATTCACTGAGTTACCAGGTTTACTATTGATGATGCATAGATTCTCCATGAAAAGATCGGAGATCGGAGCATTGTCCCGAGCTGCGCATAATCATCATGAATAAGCGAACAAGTTCTATTCATTCAGTACTATGGATAGCCACAGCTAAAAAGCGCAGGACGAAATTTAAGGCAATAGTCCCCGATACATTCACTGTTCTAGTTGCTAATCATTTTAATTACCATCTTTAAAGCTTTGTTGCATTTATTATGTTTCTAGCGCAGTGGTTGACGAGGACACACTTCTCTGTTGTTACCTCCAGTGACCGTCTTCATTAGCGAACATCTATGGTGTTTTCGACGTAGTCACCTCCAGGTATTTCTGCCAAGGAGACTGATACTTCAAGAGTGGTTGTGGCTGAATCTGATCCTAATGAGGTCAGGTCTTCTCCGAGAGATTCGACATCATCACCGCTGTCCCCTTCCAACGGCTTCACTGGATCAGGAGGTGGCCGCTTCAGACCTGACCAACAAATTACATAACATATTGATAGCTGGCGAAAGCAACTGCGCTACTTGACAATTGATAAAAAAACAACTGCATGTCTGCACTGTCAGATTAGATTTGTAGCGACGACACATTATTAACGTCATACAGGAGTGCTGTACAGAGGGTGAGTTAGGAAACACACATTAAAGAATGTGCTGTGCGCTTAAACATAAAATATAGACGCTTCAATAAGGTAGTGTCCTGTTATCTATGTAAATTTCATATGTAGACACTGTAACATTATATCAATTCAACTGTACGAACCATCTCTCTTTCAACTGTATAAGGATGTTTCTACATTTCTTGGTTATTCATAAATAGACCTATTGCAACTCTGGTTGCTATTTCATGTTACAAAGCTATAAACACCAAATGAATTCAGTACGGATTCTAAGATCAACTCAGCGAAGAAAAACAGATGCAAAAACTTTTGTAAAGGAGCTTACAACTCAAATTCATGGATACAATCTAATTCTGCTGTGTTTAGGTCAGTTGTTTTTGGAATGCAGTTCGCTGAAGTAATCTAATTTAACTTTGGTATTTTTCCTTGTACACACATTTTACTGTTGAACAGTATGAAATATTTTGGAGAAATTAGTTTTTACCAGGACTCCGCTTAACCGACGCCCATTAACGTACGCCGTAAGTCGTTATCGATTTGCCGATGACTCGCATTTTTCTGACATCAGCAAACGCGAGAGCTTATTTGAGGTTGAATGACGCTGAAGTTAAGGTTCTCTTATATTTGTGACGTTTTATTTTGCCGCGTATTGCTCCTCGTAGTATGGTACTCTTTTTACGTTACCCCATTTGTATGTTTTTTTTGCTTTTTAATGGCATGGCACTTCAATGTGCCCCAAGTAACTATTTTAGTACAAAACCTGGTTAGTTCCAATTGCTTAAAATAATCGCAACAGAAAGGAGATTTCCACTTCCTATACTAGAGAACTATGGGTAACTATACTTGAGGACAGTGTAAGTACAAAGTAGCAAAAATTAAGGCCGACATGTTTACATCAACGATATTTACGCTGCAGCTTCTTAAGCCATACAGTTACGTCGATAACCTTTTTTCTTATCAGTACGGTCTATTAGCAGGAGTACTAAATATACTGACTGCAAAGTACTTACTAAACCTTTTTGTTTGAAGTATATTATTAACGTGTAATGTTCACATATCTAGGCAGACTATTTCAGTAGCATGTTAAGGGATGTTTCAAAAATCAATAACAGATACTAGCTTCGTCCTTATATCTATTCTCTCGAAATCACAACATTACGTACTGGTAGTCCTCGCGAAGGAAAGAATTTGTTCCTAGATCAGAATGATACTACAATGATCGATCGCAACTAAGCGTTAGGAACTACCATCAACAATTGTAATCGTTCAAATTGCAATTCCTGAAGCTTGAAAATAGCTAATCGTTTGCGTGGAAAGCCCTATATGCTTCAGTCGTAGAAAGTAGGCATTAGTAGCAAATACGCCAAATCTTTCCCTTTCGGGCTTATTAAAACGGATCCATCAGCTGCGAGTAACTGATACTACTTATAACATTCTTCTCGAAGATTTGTATTTTAACATTAACTCACTGGGTAGTTTCGAAGGGGCTTGAAGTTTCGGAAGGTCTTTGAGTGAAGAAAGGGGCTTAAGCGGGGAGAGTTTCCCACCGGGAGTCTTTTTGGCATCAGTAGCAACCTTCTCTGGCGATCGCGGTGGGCTGATCGTTACCTCGACCTCATTGTTTTTTTCGGGACCTTTCGTCGCGATATCTTGTTCGTCTGTTGGCTGATCCTCGAGTTCGTGTTTTAGAGAACCCGTAGTTTCTGCGGCAATCTTTACTGTATTAGCAGTCTCTTTGTCCTCGTATCCCTCTGCGTCCATATCCGTCGTTTCAGATTGCTGAACATCGTCGCCTTTGTCCAGCTGGGCAAAGAACGACTGTTCGGCGAACATACTTCGAACGTCGGATGCATTGAGTTGCAGGCTGGTTCGCCGAATGAGGTGGTCTGCGCTGGTGTGTTCCATGGAGGAATCCTTTTGCTTCAATGCGGACTTGACAAGCGAGGAAAGTAAAGGTTCATCGGCCAGACTGGTCTTTGTAGTGATGTCCACATTGAGCGCAGCCGCCATCTCCTTTCGTGACAGCAGCGGTGTCTGTGAAGTGTTAGTAGGCACAAGCACAGGGAGTAAGGAATATTCGAGCCACGGTGCAGAACAATGCACTCTAACTAATAGATAAGAACCAATGCGGCTACTCTAATAGCTAAACAGTTATGTATAGGCGCGTATATTCACTTAACATTTTTGTTAAACAGTCACGATTTTACTGATCAAAATGCATTAATGTACTGAACCGTACCACTCTACTATTTTTTTTCTAGCAGCACGAATTTCGTCATGGTTATCATACAATATATCGTATACAATATTGGTTTGTTGTTAACCATTAATTGAATGCTAACTTCTAGGCGCAACGCAAAAATCAATAGAAAAGCATTAGCGGCTCATATGCGACAGACAATTGAGGAAAGGCTTCAAATGGCGTCGCTAATATTTGAGATTAACTACTAAGTGGGCTTCACTAGTTCGAATTTTGCTGTTAAGGATTTACACACGGTAGAAAATTATTATATTTAATTAATAATTAATTAAAATATAACATTAATAAAAATAATTTTAACAATTAAATTACAAATAGCATGCCTAACCCATCGCCAGCATTCGGTGCTACTCAATATACAAAATATGCGCAATCAAATTATCAAAATTAGTAACAGAGAGTGGACAATAATTACTAGTTTAACTACGGCTATATCATAATAACAATGAGGGATCGATTCGTGATGTTCAACTAATGCATGCCATAGTCTATTTTCGAATTAATAGGTACATTTGCTATACATTGTCTGAGACCAGTGCTACATTTTCCAAAGCGACGCGATGCGTTTCTATATACAAGCTCCGCCACATGTCTACCAAAAACTCCGGGCTTGATAGTATTAATCTCTAATCGCATGATATGATCAATGCGGCACATACAATACTAGATTTTCTTTAAATGAATATAATATTGCCTCTTACCTGTTTCAATATTTATAATAAAAGTTTTTATACTTTCTTTAACAAATGAGCCTTATGCCCGAAAAAGTATCACTGAATTAGATGTTTCGAAATTGAGTAGCGGTCGACTTGCAAAGTTGGAGGCAACCGTTTCCTAGTGACACGGTCACATAACGACACCCCTAGCTGTGTTGTAAACAGCCTGGTAGTTAATACATGTCTAACTCATTAGATCCTATAGAATAGAAAAAATTGAGGGAAACATAAGGAGTGATCCATACGTATTTCATAAGACACGACAAGCCAGAAAACGTTGATGAAGCGGTAATACATGTTGCGCAATGTCTCGTCTCAAGGCAATTCTTGCAAAAAGCAGCTACCGCGTCTACGATACGATGTCCTACTTGTTATGGGTAATTTCAGTTTATTTGATTAGAGCTAGCATTAGCAATATAGAGCTGTGCGGAACAATGATAAAAAAAATTTCGTCTATAAGAAATAGAATAAGGCACGTATAAGGAGATAGCTTCTGTGATTTGATTGAGCTTACAAAAGCTTCAGCACATAGCCATACGTTTTAGAAGGATCTAACCATATAACATACGTACTTCTCAGCTAAATTTTTTTACTACATGATTTCAAAATTGTTTTGCTTAGTGTAACGCGGTCCTTCCAAATATTGCCTGGTCATCTTTCCGTCCTACCTGAGCCTTATTCACTTCGACATCGAAGACAGAAAGAGTAAAGCTGAGATCTAATTGCTGAAGTAAGTCTTTTACGAGCGAAAGAATTAGCCGACCCTCAGTGGTCCCTGAGTGCGTGAGAAAATGTGACGTCCGCGAACGGGGCACGCGTTCTCGCAACTGCTTAGAATCATACAGAGCTTGGAACACTCGACAGCGCAACTCAGCCTGCGCTGGAAAACATGATGAATTCGTCGCTGAATTAATATTACGTCCTACAGTCCATGTGGGCATTTAAATAAATGGTTGGTGTTCTTCTAACACGAAATGGATTATCTTTTATAGGATTTCTCGATTTCCGATTTTCATATTGAACGGCTGGATACAAATATCAAACTAAATGTATACTACACGGTTCCCTTACAACGAAACAGGGCGAGAAAAAGACTTGCGCAAGTATCCGAAACATTTTGATAATCTTTAGGTATCAACGATTAATGTAGTGAACAATATCCTTAATAGAGAACGCAGTCGAAATGAGTAAGTAAGTCACTATAGATGCAGATGGGTGACATTACAACCTGAATTTGTAATCTGTAAGTGATCCATATGTCGAAGAAAGATTGCTTCCGAAGCTAATTGAAAGCAACACCAGAAACACATCTGTTGACTACCATCAGTTACCCCTTCCAGTGCGCAGGGCTGTACTTAGACTTCTCATTAAGCCAATACACACACTGCGTTGTTACCCACTTTTCTGCATATATAAGTAAAATTGTATCTATGTTCAACACAAACAATTTATTAAATTTAGCAACAAAACGAACACGGATGAATGAAGCGGATCTGACGAGTTTGTGAAGCAATTGAGAATTAGACCACTACCATATTTTACATCTCGATTCCGTCGAGCCCACTTGATTTCTTTGACTGACACTACTACACTCTTTTTATACATGTACTTGCCTTGATCTTGTTGAGGGCACCAGATTCCTCAAGAACCTGGAGAACGGCATCGCGCAGTTCCACGTCGGCCTCTTCGCTGTTCAGGGCCATTGCTTCGTCGGAGAAGCGGCACGCGGGTTAAAAACCCATTAGGGTTTCTGTTTTCGGGTGCCTACACCCAACGACCCGAGACCTACAACCCAAGGAATCGTAGCAGCCTGCCTGCGGCCCGCAGGCAAATCTAATGAAAACAGTAAGCGGACTCACTCTCAATGCTTAACGGACGGACGAGCGGGCGGGCGTTCGGTTTGGGTGGCTGGCTGAATAACTATCACGCAGAGTCGGCGGCAACCTCACAGCGTTACTATGGAGACCACCCACCCCAGACTACCTTGGGTTGAAGATTATCCATGACAGACACGTCTGGCACACGTGAAACTCACATACGCGGCAGGAGCCATCCTAGTGCCGCCAAAAGATTTCGATGGATTTACATTCTAATAAGATCTAGATCAACTGCTGTAATGTTCTATTCGTAGATCGAGTTGACGAAATGACTGAAGATGGCAGGAATTGCAATGTGCGCCAATTTCGCGATAATTGCTCGTATCGCGCGCATTCGCCGTTTTTAAATTTCGCGCTCTTTGAGACTTCATTTGTTAAGTTTTAGCATGAACCATTAGTGCTCATTAGTAATTGTATAAGTATGTGCAATCAGTCATTGAAAACGCATTATTTTGATGAGTGCTCGTAAAATTTCTCACTATTTTTAGAAACCATTAAGCTGAAATCTGCATTCTGTATAGTTAGCACTGAAGCAGAATGAAGAACTATTTACTTCCCAAGGGTGAGAGTCATTCCAGTTGGAAAGGACAATAAGACAAAAAAAATGGAAAGGAGATACGTGTAATTTTTCCCTTAGACCAGTACGACTCGTCTACTTGTCATATCATTGGTTCACCTATTTATTCGGTCGTAATTTTGTTACCGGGTCTTATATGTAGGCAGGTTATGATACGCAGTCGCAGCACTCGGTACACACAGCAGTTGACCAACTGCTAGCAGACGGCGCCAATTTATGGTGGCATTTTTTTTAGTCACTCTTTCTCTCATTTAGAGATCCGCTCTGTTGATGTTATTGAATTTGCTGAAACCACCCCTGCTATTGACGTCCTGCAGTTGCGGCGTTCCGTTTGTAATTGTTTCACACGGGTCTGTACGACTTATGAGACTGTTTGAGGGCTGTCTGTGTATCTGCCACACTAATTCTTAAACAGAATCTCTAGCGTTGCTAAGTGAGAAAGAAGCGGCGTCCACGACAGGCGCAACGAGCTTCCTGGCTGGCTGCCTGACCGCCCGCCCGGCCACCCACCGCTTTTGCTGGTAGCAGTCGCAGATACTTTGTTGGTCCTTATTACTTTGGTCTTCACTGCACTCGCGAAAGCGTAAAGATCGGCCGCTGGTTGTGGAGGCAATAGAAGAGGTGCATTCAGCGGCAACAACAGTGGTAACAGCTTGGCTCAGATACGCAACTCTCCACGACTACAACTAACAAAACTATTACAAGCAAAAGCGTTGCTATCGTTTAAGCTAATAATACGTAAAGTGCACTATTGGCATTCACTTCTGCTGCTAGGGCAATTAGTAAGAAAAAGATGAAAACAATTAGGAGCGCTAGTGACATAACCGGCCCCTTGCTTATTGCCGTAATAGTAGATCTGCTCTATGATTCTATCTTTATTCTTTTGTTTTCTTATCATCTAATTACAGTGGCTGTAAGTTGGCTTGCCAGAGGAAGCTCAGCAGTGGTCCATATCGCGGAGTCATTGTGTTACGGTAGTTTTAATGTTACCTGTTCGGCTGCATTTGGTTCCGTCGCACATCTAATGTTTCGATTAAGTGAGTGAGTACGTGAGGAAATGACTGTATCTGTTGGATGCTGTTGTATTGCGGGTCAGTGTTCGAGAGTTGGTACGTATCGAGTACACGAAGCTATTACTGCAGCGCAACGGTAACGTCTCGATGATCCTTTTCGAAGTAATATCGTGATTTGTTGCGGTCCCGGTAGAAGACGACTCTTGTTGTTGTTGTTATTATTGTTGTTGTTGAGAGTTCCAGGATTCCGAATATGGTATAGACACTGGTACTAGTTCAAATGATTCGGAGAGGTTTGTTTGTTCACTTTAGTTGTTATTAATTCTGCTACTATAATACTGTTTCGACGACGACGACAACAACAACAACAACAACTGCGCCCATCCATCAGTGATGCGTGCTCTTGATGGGTGCTTCTGTTGACCGTGCTGTGTCTGATTCGGGTGTGCGTGTGTGTGTTTGGCTCGAGGCGCGCCGAATAGCTACTTCCATACAGTGGCGAATCAACGGCGAAATACGGACAGCATTTATTTATGTGTTTCTGTTTGTTTGGCTGTACGTGTCCCCCTCTCTCATAGTGTCATTGTCGTCAGATTGTTTGTAGCCTTGTTTTTACGAAAATAGATTGCGCTAGAACACTCGTTACAGCCTCTTCCCTTTCCCGAACTACCAGTAAATATTTACGCTGGTGCTGCGACTGTGATTATTGCCCACGTTTATCGTATAGTATGAATTGTTATTGTAATTGCAGAGGTTGTGTCATCATCAACCAACTAATATCGTACCATCATTACGATCAATGTAACTGGTTCGAGGTAGATACGATACAGTTATGGGAAGCGTGTGAATTAATATATTGGCAATCACCAGCCACGGTGTTCTTATCTCGTCATCTGGAACACTTTATAACATCTCCATTAACAACAACAGTGAAGAGTCGTCGCGCACATGAGTTGCCAGCGCCAACAGTCAGGACCAGTCAGGAGTGCTGCCAGCGGCCGATCATCTGCGACTATAACTCATCGTTTTTCTGTTGCAAATAGCGAGGAAGGTAAAAGACAGTGGCCATCATCAGAAGGAGAGAACAGACTGTAAGTAACAGAAACAACAGTCAACAGTAGCAGCAGCTTCAGCATCCGTGTAATAAACGACGGCGCCATTTAAAAAGAAACGAACGAGCAAAGAAAGAAATAAAAAACGTGAATAATAGCGTGGGTGCGTTTGTGTGCTGTTTGTATCTATCGCGACTGTGCGTGGCCGTGTATGTGAATCTCTTTCTGAGGACCTCTTCCCTCAACGTATAAGTGCTGAAGAGCTCGTGGATATATATACACATATATATCTGCCTACGAACTTCATACGTTTGATCACACATCAGTTCGTCGTGCTGTGAGTGTTTAAGCAGGGTCCACGTCAGAAGAAGGAGTTCAGAGCCATCAGCGTGCAGAGGACAGTGCCGTCCATTTGAGCTGCTGGTGTGCCCCGTGGGTGATGTGCTTCAGCAGGTGGAGACGGGTCGGCCGTGCAGAGTGATGTTATGACGCATCACGATGCCTTTGTACATCTGATTGCCGGAGGGTAAGTTCGACTCAGTTGTTCCACAATTTGTATTCGGACCCTGATTCCACGTTCTCTCACACAACCAAAGCCGCTGAAACCCAATGATTATTTTATTATTTGCTCTAAACAATCATTTACATTTCGAGCAACGAATGATGAGTGTTGCGATTAAATTAAGGACATTTTCTGTAACGTTTCTTCACAGCACATTCATAAAGTGCGGTACAAATACCTCCTGCTCGAATGGTGGAGCTTTCCTGTCATTGTGTATATTGTATATATTTGATTTGTGTGTTTCATTTATTTACCTTTGTGACAAAGTATTTTACCCTGTATTCTTGATCAGAAGTTTGTTTATCTATGTTTCGACTGACTATTAAGAGAAAATCTATCATATTAAAGAGCTTTTGCTTTTTTTGCTTCCTTGATAGTGATGATGTGTATTTCGATCTTAGCCGACCGTGTGAAGCAATCGACTGATCGTAGAGTCAGTACTCCTATAGTGAATTACTGGATAAAATATATGCGTTTGTGAAAAGATTGTTGCGAAGTGACTCTTTATCACGAGCTATATTACTATAACCTTTATGACACGTACATGTTATACATTGACTATTGATAGTTGCATCCATGCATATACCTGGTAAAATGCAATCACACGTCTGTTCGCGCATTGAGAAGGTCGTGCGGACGCTCTCCTTTTAAATGCACGAATTTCAAGCAGCGATTGCAGGTGGTCCCGAACGGGCCTTTGATCTATGAGCCAGATAGGCAAACCGTGGGCTATAGAGATAGATCTAAATGTTTATGGAAAACATCTCAATATAATGACGGTACAGCAGCCGCAGAAAGGCCATTCTTTCAATGTTGAACGGTAGAAAAGGGACTCGCCCTAACAGCTAACAGAGAGAAACATTACCGTTAGAATCTATCTGCTACTGAGACTGTTTTGCTTTTATTGTCCTATTGCTGACATGCTAAACAAATAATATGTCTCTCTCTCCCTTTCTACAATATATATATATATATATATATAATGATTTATTTAAATTTACAACCTACGTCTTTGTTTGTACATGCTATTAGAGTAATAGTAAGAGACTGCTCATATACAGGGATAAATACTTTTGATGGGCTCGTCTCCTATCTACGATTGGAGAACCAATTGGTCACTGAGACTACTATTAGTCAAGGATTGTATTAATAATGTCATGACGGACGTAGGACAAGCTTATGAAAGTGGTACAACACGCATGCTGTGTCCCTATAGCTATATTAGGTTCTCATCTAATTAACCGACTCTGATTCTATTGCCGTTTGTATCAAAACCTATCTGCCATGTAGGAGTGCTTTTCGGTCCCAGGGGAAGTGTTTTCCTAGGTGAAAACGCCTACACGTAAATAAAAAAAATTACTTTGCCAATTGTATTAGCCGGAGTTAACTATTGATAACGCGGTCTTTTTTTGGTAAATTATTTATTACGAGAAACGATTTAGTACTTAGTAAATATTTTTGTCGTAGCCATTTTTTGTAACTATATATTAGGTTGAAAACAAGTTTCCATCGGAGCCAACAGATGGTTGGATAGAACATCGTTGAAAGCTTTCAGGAAGATTGTTTAGACTGTCAGGCGAGGCAAGTAATTTCCACAAAAGATATTTAGCGGTAATGATACCCGTTAAAAACAAACCAGACTTGGAGTAGCCGGTACACGACAAAATATTCAGGACCAAAAACTGCCTTTCTGAATATGCTGAGAGTGAGAAGGAGCTTATATCCTGTAAGCTAAGATTCCTATTTCGCTGCGTGAAAGCACAACATCACATATTGCTTTGGTAATCTAGAGATCGCTAACAAACCTCTAGTGGGAAATTTTGCTTACCCGGCATTCGGTTTGAACCACTGGTCTCGCTCGATGCAGCATAGTCAGGAAGGCAAACAGAAGGCAGAAGTTCTCGCTCGGCGAATGAATCGGTTTCAACGGCAAAGTTTTTTTCCTTTGTGGAGTACATCAGCAACCGGAATAATAAGCGAGACTCATGCGAAGGGAAAGGCAGAAGCGAAGCTAAAAAAACAACGACCTTTTGTCAAACTAATGCTATTATGGCGAATAATAGATGCTTGAGTTTTGGCAAATTAGAGGAAGCCCATTAAGACTTTTTAGGTAATAGGACAAGGCAAAATACTGCTTAAGCTTAAAATTATCTTTCCTGTCTGAACATAGGCAGGTGTAAAAGTTCTTTTCGACTCCGAAGAGCTTCGAAGTCAAGTGATACCTTAATAACTTACGTCATAATAAAGACGTCCAATCATGACTGTGACGATTGATGGTAGCAATTTCTAGGCTAGGCGGTACATGTTCTAAAACATTAGTTTAGTTAAAAGATCTTTTAGAGACTTCCAAGTCACACGCGCCTCAAAAACAGAATCTGTTTTATCCGAGAGGCCGCGTTCAGTTAGTTTACAGTAAAACAGTAAAGGACACCACACGTTCTGCATTTTCAATAATTTTTAGTGAAAGTTCTCTGCTCTAACGATTTCATATATAATATAAACTAGACCTAACTTTATTTTTTCGCTGATGTTTAGCATAAATCTAGTGTTAACCTATATATATGATTTGATACCTTACTACGTTACTTCATCTATCTAAGCAACTAAGATGAACGAAACTGACGATCAATTATAAAGGAATAGATGATCGATGATTCTTTAAGTGTGCATTGCACGCTTTGTCTATAATTTAGTCGAGTGCGCTTGGCTATATGTAATTTATGAAAATAAGATTAAGGTTTTTAGTTAAGTATACGATTTATTTAAGAATTTTTACAAAACATGTGATGATGCAGGTAAGGCTTTTAAAGAAGTGAGTTAATACCTACTCCATTACTGGCAGCTTATTTCGCGCAATTACTAATTAATAACGTATTTTGACTGAGTTGAAGTGTAGAATATATTGCATATTGCGTGCTAGTACTAATTTTAAGGTAATTAGAACTGTTGCTTGAGTATATTGCGTAGTTTAAGCGCGCGTAGCACGTATGTGATATTGCTACAAGGACCCTAAGCGAAAGCAGAAGTTAATTGATACTGAAAGACTAATTTTATTGCAACTTTTTCGATTTTTAAAATCTCTGGTTAAGGCAATTATTTTATCTAGCCTAGAGAAGAGCTTTTGCAAAAGTCAATGACATAGGTGTTCTAAACCCGATATTTCAAGACGCTTCTACAAAAGTGGCTCATTTTTAGTATGTATGTCTTTAGAATGATCTTACTGAAGATACAAGAATACTCCAATTGTTCTTCTGATTCTTTGATATGCTTCTTTTAAATTTAGCCTGGGCGGGACTGTTGGCGCGATCGTGACCTGCCCCTTAGAAGTGGTCAAAACACGTCTTCAATCATCGGTGTCCCATTTTCATATTCCCCCTGAACCTCCGACGCTGTTCCAACGACTTTGCACGAAACTTGGAGCTCGAGACGCCCACCCGGGGGTCAACCCCCAAGGCCCAGCGCCTCATGCGACATCAGCCAGTGGGACAAACATTGGATTATGGCGGTGCTTGCGGTAAAGTTTCTTTCGATTGTTGGATTTACTAATCTTAGTTGCATTTCTTCGTTTTTATACTCGTCTAAGAGTAAATAGGCTACTAACCTAAAAAATGGTTTTATAAAAAAAAATGTATATTTCGTTGGTACTACTCATTCCGTACTCAACTTCAAACAAAAAAAAGGACGAATGTTGCAGTCGTCCTCTCAGATATAAGCACATTCGAATAAGTATGTTTCTGTTATCAGAAGTCTGGCTTTCTTTTAGTGTATTTTTGTCAGAAATAGTGTTAACTTTGTTGTGCCAGATTACAGAACTGCTCTCTATTGATAAAAGTATCTTGTTGGCTATCACCTTTTTTTGCCGATCGCGTTTGCCACGCTCTAACGTGATTTTTTGGTTCTGATGCTGTGTGTTTATGTTGTTCGTCGTGTTGCAACCTCAATGGCGAGCAGGTACATAGTGGAAACAGAAGGTGCTCGAGCGCTCTTTAAAGGCTTAGGTCCAAACCTCGTAGGAGTGGCGCCCTCGCGAGCGGTCTATTTTGCCACATACTCCAACTCGAAATCATTTCTGCTGGGAGTTTTACCGCCCGATCTTCCCGTGTCTTTGGCGCATATCATTTCAGCAGCCTCCGCGGGTACGTAATTGCATATTAAATTCTATTATATTATAGGGGTAGTAATAATAATATCAGTCTTTATTTTGCATATTAATAATCTTACTTGTTTTTTTGGTTCCGATGTTATAACTGTGACAATAGGCTTCGTATCATGTACTTTGACCAATCCAATATGGTTCGTCAAAACTCGACTTCAGCTCGACGAAAACACATACGGACAGCGGCAAACTGCTGCGGAGTGTATCAAAGACATTTATCGGCACCATGGCGTTCGGGGTTTCTACAAGGTGCGTCTACAATAATGCTTTATTCAGAGTTAGGATGGAAAATTCGGAAAAATGATTATAACCTTAGAATTTGCTAAAAATACTTAACTCGGAGTTTTGACTTTAATAATCCTGATAGAGTTATTTGCTCTAGCCTCTATATTTAGTTTCGCGAAATTTCGGCCCATATCTTGGTATTCTGTTGTCCCAAACTACATAAACAGGATGCGCGGTCTAAATTGAGAAAAACATGCCAGCCTTCAATATTACAGATTTAATAAGAAAAAAAATTCTGTTCTTTTTTAGTACGTCCGCATAGACGCACACCTCTGATGACCTAGTTTATTCCATGGAACTGATAACTGCTTCGATAATTTCTCTAATTCTTACCCGAAATCCAATTTTTACTTGAAATGGGTAACATTTGAAAATTGCGCCTGTAAATAAGCAAAAGAATATTTTTTGGCGGTCTCTGAGAACGTGGCATTTCTTTTTCTTTAGGCGTTTCGCTGAAACGTATCCCACGTACTGAACTTTCTTTCTAGACATCTGTCAAGCTCTGTAAAAAAAAAATTTTAGGAGCGTGGTTTGCTATTAAGCCGTTCTCCTGTTGAAAAACATATGGTCTCTGTAGTATTTTGTTTCTAATTATCTGAATGTATGGTTTCATCGCAATTTGAGTGATGATAATCCAATACATTTCTAGTTATGGACATAATGAAAATACGCTTGGGTAAATGTCGACGAGCCTGCACCTGATCATTCGATTGACCTCAATCAAGGGTAATCACTTCTTCATCCGAAAAGATCGCGAAAAGTTAATACAACCCTCCGAATGCTTTTTTTTTTGAAGTGTTTGAGCAGCGAAAACGTCTTTCAAGTTTGGTATTACCTACAGAAATTATATATTTGAATTTTGCAGTATAACGAATCTATAAAAAGATATAAATATGCATTTTAATGTTTTTAGATGAATTTCAGCTCTCTGATCGACAATATCTGCTTTTAGGCGGAGTTCACTTCCGCGTCTTCTTTGCCCTTGTGTAATTGTTCCTGACCAAAGTACTCTTTTAGACTGGAAATTTCACCTTAAGACCTTAAAAAAATCCTCTATCTAGGCGGCACACGCTGTATATTGTGAATCACTCTTCAGATATTTGCGATTCCACTACCACGTGTTTGGAAATGGTATATACATATGTATCTACAGCTTGCTACAATTGCCTATCAAAGACGATATTTCCATAATATTGCTTATAAATATCGTCTTAGGAAAAGTTATTTAATTTTGAGAGGAAGAACGTATGCTATAAGCTCGTACCTGCTTCAATAATTTTCCTAGAACGCGTAACCTCATTATATATAATACATAACATAGACTAAACGAGTTGCTCAATACTGATTGAATGACCGGTATATCTAAAATGAAACTGTATTACCAGAACGTTTTATTGGTTTGGTCTATACTTGTATTTCATCAGGGTGTCACAGCGTCATATTTCGGTATCTCAGAGACGATTATCCATTTCGTTATCTACGAACACGTAAAAGCTCTCCTGCGCTCGAAGGAGACTGAGGGCAACCGGTTCTCGCATTATATGGTTCGTATACTTATAATCTCGTTTTACCTTTTTGTTTTTGTTATGTTATTATTAAATCGTATTTATCAAAAGCTCACACTTTTATTAAATAACGCAGTTGAGATACTTGACTTTTCGAAGGACAATGAAGTTAGTTCAAATTATGATAAGTCGCCGTACAAATTGAGATATCACTTTTGACAGAGTGTTTTGGCCAACCCTTGTTAGTCTATTACCATGTGACCGTTATATATCTGTACTTGAATATTTTTAAACCGGTTATTGGTTTGGTCCAGCTTTGAGAACCACATACATATCTGTAGCAAGGGCAAAACCTGGTACTTTTCAGTGGAATTCTGTAAACTGATTCGATGCTATATTTCTCATGATTTCGATTACCAAAAATCAAACGAATGTATTGTAGTAGGCAAAACCACAATGTTTACTACTATTGATATATCGTTGTTCTTACACGCACCTGTACTTGGGGTTGAGAAAATTTACAGATAGCGAGTTCGATCTCAAAGACGTGCGCAAGTGTCATTGCGTACCCTCACGAAGTAGCACGAACACGGCTTCGTGAAGAAGGCCGTAAATACACGGGCTTCATACAAACGCTAACCCTTGTGTATCATGAAGAAGGCTTTCGGGCGCTCTATCGAGGTTTGGCCACTCAGCTTCTCCGGCAGATACCGAACACTGCCATTATGATGACAACGTATGAGGGAATTGTTTTCCTTTTCACACAGAAGCGACCGCCAGATCCACCCGACAGTTGACAAGGGACTGCAAATGACTGTTAATAGCGTGGCGACCTAACCCAAAGCGATTTCAGTTAATATGAACAATGAAAATCACTGGCTTACCATTCAGACTAACCTGTTAACTGGTCATGAGCTGTTGTGTTATTCTCAAAATAATGTCTCTCAATGAGAAAGGCATTTTCCAGACTGAGAATCAGATCCCGGTACAAAAATTGCACATTGCAAAGTATTGTAAAATGATACGGTTTGTACGTGATAGACCGCAGATTGAGCGACCAGTCTACATAGCAATTTAAATGACATTGATGAATGATGTTTGAGGCATGACAAAGCGGTAAACGATAAATGAGACATTAATGAACCAACGTAGTACTCAACTTCATTTTAATGATACTTCCAAATGCAAAAAACAAAGACTAGACTTTGGTCAACGTTGGCAATTAGCAAAGCTACATCGTATTTCTCTTGCTGCGACACGCAAAATGTTACGAGACAAGCGCTACTGTGGTCGATTGCAATCTAAGCTTAATGTGACATGTCATATGATAATAAGACTTAGGTTAGAATAACCAGATACTAACACTTTGTGAGTATTTTTAAATTTCCGAAGATGCAAAGATGTAACACTGGAAAAGTGAAGTAGCAGTCCTTTTTGTATATGATAATGTGGCAAATGTAGTGAGTGTATAATGCATTGGCTGATTCGTCGCTCTGGGCGTCGCTCCTTTGACGTTTTAGGCCTCGAAAATTCGATCATAATTAAGCGGTCAGATTGCGGGGCTTAGCAATCATCAGATGCGGTTTGACCTTGAGTGTTCCATATGTAATAGATAAATATACACACATATATATTTGGAGTGAGGAAAGGTCAATTGTATTGAATGGTGGACATAGACGAGAACAAGTGTTTTTTTTCCAAATGGTATCCAAATGTTGCAAAAAAAGAAAATCAACAAAATTAAACATGGGTAGAGCTATGGTTCATGGTGCAGTATAACAATACAAATATGTAATAATAATCATATATAAATATGACCATAAGGAACCAAGAGGATAAAATATAACAGTAATAACGTTGATAATGTAAGTGATTACCATTTTTGTTGTTGAGCGTGGAGGAAGCAGTAGCTGCAGAGGAGCTGAAAAGGTACGAGATGAAGAGCAGTTTTTCAATGCTGATGTGTCAGAGTTTTGATTATTACGTCTGTGAGGATGTGCCATTTTATTTGTTGCTTTGTTGTCAATAAACAATGATGTACTATGTGTTTTGCGATTCTCTTGTGACGGGCCAAAGATCACGTCAGCGACAACACCAACCACAATGGCTGTTACGCTGGACGACTTTACAAAATTTCAAAATGTAATGATAGTGATGCTGATGATGTTTATTTGTCAATAATTCTCAACTATTATCGTCAATCTTTGTAACCCCGCACTTTCTCCCAGTATATAGGCAATGATCGAAATTAGCTGTTTTCTGTCGTTAGCTCTTAGTTGAATCTGAAGCTGAATTAACGGAAGCTACTTTACCTTCTTTTGCAAAAACAATAAAAAATAGATCCGATTTATACGATAATAATGATAAATTCAATGATTATGGTGACGACGGAGATAAAGGAGTTCAACCGTAGTAATACATAATGCAACTTCGTTTTGAGCTAATGTGCAATCCCAGAGTAATTTTCATTAGTTTCGATTAGTTTGTCTTTAGCCTATGATTAATCGAGATCTATGAGTTGAAAAAACTCAAGCGGAAAGGTAACGTTGGGAAAAAACAGCACGAGTGTCTATCTAGTGAGATAATGGAGATGAACTGCGTTATAAACATTATAATACACACACACACAAACAAATTATAGATACATACGTATATGTAACAGAAATAATCATATAATTATTATAAGTTTGTGTGCGATGAAGAGAGTTATATAAGTTATGATGTAATAAAAAGAGAACTGTTAATACTGAAGCGGCCATGTGAAAACATACAAGAAACTAAAGATATAGGTTTTTAAATAAAATACGTTTCTACAAAATAATGTGTTGTCTGTCATTTTTTTTTGTGATCGCATCGTGTAGTTATAAAATTAATTTTGTCAGAGAGATTATTGCAGTAAATAAATTATTGTAACAATAATTGTGGCGCAACGGGATTACTACAAGTGGTTGCAGAAGAACGGAGAGTTTTAAAATAATCACAATGACGTCACGGCCCGAATCTGCTTTCAGATTCAAACGGATAATTTAGGCCTCAACTAAATCAACTCAACGACCGATGTCACGGCTGCTGGGGCTCTTTTAGGTGCAGCTGTTCGTAGCTTGTTAATTATTTTTTTTAACTTCGTATAAAGTTTCTACTGTATGGGTAGCGTTGGAAAAAGCCTTGCGGTTTGAATTTTTAAATTTTAAAAATTATAAAAATAAAAACTAATCAGTTTTTTTAAATAGGTACTGCAACAATTACTGATTTTTTAAAAAGTAATTTAAATGAGGATTTTTCAAATTTATAAAATATCCAAAGGCCTTATAGTTTTTCCTAGCTTTTTAGTTCTTTTTCTAATCCTCACGCGTTGTCACAAAAATGACAAAAACTCAGTTTTTTTCGGCCCTCGAATGGAACCTAATAATAAACAGATAGATGTTTATGACACGCTAGCCAATTGGAAATCCTGTTAGTTAAGCGACGTTAGTAAACATGTAACCTGAAGCGATTAACTTTTGAGTTTACGTGTGTGGTATAAAAATGTAAACACTAAAGATAGTGTTAGATTTCGGTTTCTGGATGCGTATTTTTATCAAACGATCTACGCACTAATTTTATTATTCTCTAGTTTATTACCACTTTGCATTTTTTACCATTCTAATTGTTTTTAGTTTTATGTCTGCACTGCCGCTGATCAAGGATTGCTTCAGGCAACTGGCTTTTAGCCAAAATTGTCAAAAAGAGGTGTGTTTACGAGTCTTTATTACAATATTATTACTTGAGTTCCCAGTGATTTTAGTTGGTATCGTTATGCAGTCGAATCCTAATTAGCGGTCTCTACCCTATTGGCTCATGTTGGAATACGCTCCGGCCGTATGGCATAATTCTTCGCTTGTTTCCTTCTGAATCTCAGATTTACGAATTAAAGAATCATTAGCACTTTAATCAGTCTTTTTTCTGGTGCTGAGGGATGATGTATCTGATGTATCTGTTAGTATGTCTGTTACGTGAACTATATTTCGCGCGTATTCTGGTATGAATTACAATTGATGGACATCTCCATTAAGTCGACACACGCCTTCTCGGTCAGCCTTGTCTGGGATGCATATCTTCTACGTTGCATCTTGCTGCTGCTGTCTGTTGTCTGTCGATGGCTACCAACTATATTGTTGTAATCGTGATTGGCTGATAGACGGTGCTCAGCGGTGTATTACTGTATTGTGAGTGCTCCTGTGTTCGAATTTGTTTTTTAGCTGTCGGTTCTCTTGATTGATTAATATTTTTTACAATGTGCAATTACCCGCGGCATCAAAGCGTCACCCATGAGGGTGTCGATAGCTGCTATCTGTATTAAGGCATAGCGTTTGACGTTAAGGCATGCGGAGAACAGGGTCGGATACCAACCGGGCTTTTCGGCCCTTCCAGCTGTGGCTTCTGGGGAGCCGAGAGAACCAATAATCATAAGACAAATTAACGCTTGTTTAAAAAGTCGAAGAGGGGGCAAAATCCCATCAAGAACCCTTGCAACTTGATTTGTTATTGTTAGAAGTTACTTACCCCGGCAGCCTCATGCAACTGGACCTTGCTCGGGTGGCTGCGGTGGGCTGCAGCTGGTAACGTCACAGGAAAATGCCCCGGGGGCGAAGAAAGCCGGGAGCTGAAGAGGAAGCATTACTGGGCGATCAACCAGATTCTTGGACAACGGTTCAGTTAAGAAATAGAGGACAACCACAAGAGCATACCAGAATTCCTTTGGGCTGCGTCCGACAAAGTCCATACCAATTTAACAATAACAGCAGCATTAGTAATCATAATCACTATTACCATGGTAGTTCATTCCCTTCGACGCTTGCCAGGTTTGATTTCATCTCCCACGAAGTTCAACCTGAAGACACTCTGGCCGGCATCGCGCTACGTTATAACTGTAAACTGGCACTTCTTAAACAAGCTAACAACATTGCGTCCGAACTACAGCTGGCAGCCCTGCCGACGGTGCGTGTACCCGTACCACGAAATGGGGTGCAAGTTGTTACCGGTCAGCTGGTCGACATTTCCGGAAAAGTCGAAATTCAGCGTGAAGCTCCTCCTCGAGAAGAGCTATGCCCTCAGCGTTTCATGGCCAATTTGGATGAGAAACTTCGTGTACTTCAGGAACAAGCGCCCCCACCAGCATCGCCGCCACCAATTGGGCCGATTAATGGGCTGCATAAGCCACGAGCAATCTTTAGTAGCACCTGCATTATGATCAGCTGTCTCTTTGGTGTGTGCGTAGGACTTCCCGCTTTCTATACATTGTATATACTCATTTTCCATGGCGACGTGTTTAAATTGATGGGGTCCTGACGTCAGCAAGATCAGGATTACCTCTATAGCAATGACACGTACAACAGTTTTAACGTGGCGCTATTTTACCATGAGAAAAAGTAAACATAGTGTACTCATTATAACAACTAGCAAAATTTTACGACAGTCTTACTCACCACTCTCAATAAAGAGGCTTCTGAAGTGCATCTACTGCATTTACAGTTTCATGATAACAACTATAATAGGGACTGACCTCAAGCATCGTGGACGGCTTCCTTATTAACTGTCCTTCGAAATCTTTATAAAATCATATTCCCCTTATTAATCTACAAGATTAACTTTTAAGATTAAGAAAGAAAAACAAATGCTTTTACGAAAGGCGAAAATTGTTATCTACTGTAATACTATCTTTACAAAAAGCTGAGGTCAGGTAGGCTTTGCCTGTAGATTCGCTTTACATTTAAGTGGGAAAAGGCTAGCTAGTTCGTTTCTCAGTTCTTAGCTCAGTTACGACGTATAATGGCAAGTCCAGTGACCAATAAGTAAGCCATCAGATTTACAATATTGAAATTGAGCTGATAAATATAATAATATGAAATGTTCAGTGCTCTCAAAAGCTGAAATCAAAGTAACCAAGCTATAGGGTATATTCCTGGTAGTAAAACCCGGGTTGAGTAAGTGCTAAGTAAGAGTGGACAAAAGCAATGAAGTTTTGTCCGGAAAAGCCAACCTAGAATGAAAACCGAATACAACTCAACGAATCGTCGGCTCTGTTACGGAAAATACAGATACTGGAAAGGGAGGCGAAGATAAAAGCAATGAGTGACAGTTAATTTTATTATTATTATTATTAGTTGTTGTTGTTGTTGTTGCGATTTCTACCCAACATGAGCGATATTTAGAACGGTGAATATGTGGATAGATACATTTATACGTAAGTCATAGCTTCATTGTTAATCAATAGTTACATATTAGCTATTGAGACACTATGAGGTATATTTATGTGATGACATTTTTGAGTCTATAAGGTATATATATTTTGTAATAAAATGCTCATTGAGAACGGTGTGCATGCATCGAATAAAGAACACGACGATAGAAGATTTATTCAGTATAATATATAGGTGTTTTTCTTAAGATGGCCAAATAATTTGAGTTTTCTTTACAGGGAAAAAGCACAGTTACTCATGACACAAGGAAATAACAATCATGTACAGAAACCTACCGATGTTAATGCATTTGTTATGCAATTTCACCTTTTGCAAACTTTTCAGACAATTTAGTCATGCATCTACATGTGTCAAGTGGAAAAGCAACATTTCAAAAAGTGTTTCAATGTATTCATTGTAATGCATAGATAAAACGTATATCGTACAGGGCAACCTATATTAAAACTGATAGACAACTAATTATTTTCTTTTTGATAACAATAGAAATGTCTATTGTAAAATCTATTGTCCTGTAGAGAATAACTTTTGAACTGAGTTAGCGGTGTGATTCATTAAGAGCTATTTTTTTTCTGCAGCATTATCGCTTTTACAAATCGAGGATGGTAAATCATTAAGAAGTCAGAAACAGCAACTATTTTAATGTTGGGTATTTAGTAGAGCAAGTTAATGAGCTCATACAAACACTTGTTTATGTTATTTCACGAATAGACTGAATAATGATGAGAACATCGTATTAGGCCAAGCCTTATTTGTAATACTAGGCGTTAACTATTTATTTTATTTTCTCGGGGCTTTACTGGTTTAAGTGCATACAATATGGAGCAATAGAGCAAGATTTAGCGAGGTATTTTTTTGGGAAAATTATGTTAGAACGCTATGTTTGCAGAATGTTCAAATTACCCAACTTTGCCAAAAAGCTGAACCAATTATTTTGTATTCTAAATCTACATCAGTTGCTTCATCTCTTTACTAATCACTGTTGTATAGCTGTTACATCAGTTGAAAAAGCAACGTTATGAAAATTAATATATGAAACGCCGATAAAACTGTGACGTCTCCCTATCTGTTGTTACAAAGTGATCACTATCGCGTGAAGCTTGAAGTCAGTGGATTCAGCTTTTACCTAAGAAAATTGCTTATTATTGCCAGTAAGGTTTTAGTTGAATAATAATCAAAAATATCGAAACGGTAATAATCTCTACATAGTGTCTGAGCCCCCAAGTCAGGGTCCTCCTTTTTGCCCCTTTGTTTGGGGCCTGTTCTTCTTTCTCAGGATCATAGATGTCTTAAATCCAGGTAACAATAAATTTTCTAAACAATTAAGGTTAGTGTTTAGCACAATGGTTATTTTTCTTAGTCGCTGTGCTATAACAACTACGAATAATCATCGTGTGGAATTAAAGGTTTGGCTTGGTTGTTACTAATAATTGTGTGTTATTTGCTCGGAACCTTCAACGTCAGTTTGGCCTACCAAAAATGCTTGCTTGCCTGCCTAGAATTCGTCTGACAGCGAAAGTAACGAATGGCCGAGATTAACCATAGAATTCGTGTCCACTGGC